TCTAGTGGGTTCAACTGGATAGGCTAACAAAAGCATTCAAATGCAATCAATGACACATACATCGTCATCGCATCTGGTGCGCCACTGATAAGGCTGCCTGATGGCTGACGTAGACCTTAAATTCGAATGCAACGTTTTTGCATTCGAATGTGGATTTTTTTTTTTTTTAATTCGACGAATATTCGAAATTCGATTTTTGTTTTTGACAGCCCTAGTGATGTCCCCATGCTGGCTAATGTGATGTTTTTTTTTGTAACTTTGCTTTCTTGTTTGAAACCAATTAAGTAGATGGATTTAGTAGACATGCAAACCTCTTGTTTCTTCTGCCATTTTTTACTAGGGCTGATTATTCAGTTGCATTGTATATTTATATAAAGGCACATCATTCTGCCAGTACGCTGAGATGATCTCATGGGCGCAAAGGCTGTTAATCACATTCTCCAAACACATTATCAGAGGTTGTCAGCAATGTAGTTCTGGCAAGAGCTGTCATTCTTTGTAAATGAGGCTATTTAAGCACTGATTAATCATAGCAAGAGTGCTTACTGGCCATTCTCCCAGATGGTGTTGGCACCAAGTCACAATTTTCCTCATCTTGAGACGTCATATCACCCATCGTCGTCATCATTCACACCTCATTTGTCTCAGATGAGTTTCTGCCTCACATTTCCCATTGTTGTAGCTATTGAATGGTTTTGGGTTTGAGTTGGTGTTGAGTAGGTGGTGATTCATTGAGGAACAGTTGTTTCAGTGACCCTGGCAAGTGTTAAGATCATAAGTGGGATAGATCGTGTTTACATATTAGCAGTGGGTCACGATGTCTGTCTAATCATCCGACAACCGTTTAGTCGGTTAGTGATGTTGACTAGGAAAGAGGTTCATGGTTTATCATCTGCTACTTAAAGTAGATTGTCATCAGTGACGTGAAGGTTTATTCATCTATCTTCAATATGAGTCTGTTTGATTATTTACCTGTAAGTCAGATTCAAAAGATTTGTGAACATAAAAGCCCACGGGTCTGTTTCAAGTCAGCACAACTCTCGCTGTCTGTTTTTGAACTGTCAAAAACAGTGAAAGATTCAGAAGACCTCACAAAAGATTCATTTTTCGTGAAGTGCCACTGTGAATAGTGGACATTGTGGTTTATAGACAAGTGGTTTTCACAGTCTATACAGCACAAGGCTTAATCGTGCTTCTAAAATTAGAACGGTTTAGCATTTGCCCGCAGGGACTGGGTTGTCTTGGTTTCTGGAAATTATTTCCCATCTTTCTCCATCACACAGAAATGTCAAACAGCAATGAAGTAATAGACTTGTTCTCCAAATTCAACGCAGAGGTCTTGAATGCGAGCATTTTGAAACAATTTCAAAGTAGGGATGTGCAAAACACAGGGATCTTGATATTTTTAACTTGCTGCAATGGCCAAAGATCCTTCAGCTGGTCGACTATCATGAACAATCCCTGGTTTTGAGGGCAAATTGACTGCTCTGAAGACTGTGTTAACTAAGGTAACCTAATTACCATGGCTTATGTCTAGTAAACAAGAGCTGCATGATTACCCTATTATTACTCTATAATATGACCCTAACCAAGATTTTAACTTGTGAATTGTTTTAATTGATTTAATGATAAAAGTGGTATAATTTAGCAAATGGTGAGGCAAACTTTTATCAGTCTGATGCACATTGTACCATATCCTGACTGGAAACAGTCCATTTAAAATGACGGACATAAATGACCAGCCAGGCAGCATTTATTTGATCAAAATACAGCAAAAACAGTAATATTGTGAAATATTACAATTTAAAATAACAGTTTTCTATCTGAATATATGTTAAAGGGTTAGTTCTGCCAAAAATGAAAATTCTGTCATTAATTACTCATCCTCATGTCGTTACGTAAAATAACGTATGCTGTTTTGTGTCTTCTGCACCACTCGGATACGCTGTTTCCGTTCAGATCAAATCACAACAACGTAGGTTTTACGTCCAGCGGATATTCTCCAAAATGGCACCAGGGTGATGCGGAGGAGACGAATTGTTGAATAAAGGTTTTTTACAAAAAGTATTTTCGTAGCTTTGTATAGTTGCGGATGAACCCCTGATGTCACATGGAATATTTTACAGATGACCTTGCTACGTTTCTGGACTTGGGAACATTTCTTCTCCAAAATGGCACCAGGGGGATGCGGAGGAGACGAATTGTTGAATAAAGTTTTTTTTTTTTTACAAAAAGTATTTTCGTAGCTTTGTATAGTTGCAGATGAACCCCTGATGTCACATGGAATATTTTACAGATGACCTTGCTACGTTTCTGGACTTGGGAACATTTCAGTTGGTTTGCTGTCTATGCAGGGTCAGACAGCTCTCAGATTCCATCAAAAATATCTTAATTTGTGTTCCGAAGATGAACGAAGGTCTTACGGGTTTGAAACGTCATGAGGGTGAGTAATTAATGACAGAATTTTCATTTTGGGTGAACTAACCCTTTAAAATAATTTATTCCTGTGATGGTATGAATTTTCAGCATCATTGCTCCTTAAGTGTCACATGATTCTTCAGAAATCGTTTTAATATGCTGATTTACTACTCAATAAATATTTGGTATGGATGTACTGAATACCGACTACTTCACGGACATGAAACAAATTTTGATATACAGTTATGTTGATTGATATCTTGTTTATTTTTTAACAGCTGCATCAAACAAACTTTTAAATTTTTCCAATTAAGACTCACTGACACAATTGTCAATCCACAACTTCTAGTTTCATCTTTAGACAGTGCCATTAATACAGTCTAGCACAATGTAAACAAAACTTTGTTTCCAGGTGGTCTGATAAACCTCTGACCTGAAAATTCACTGAAATCATCTGAGCCTATTAATCCCAAATAATTACCTTGAGACAAACAATCAGGCTTTGTGTTTTAAAGTAACTGAGCAATGATGTCCTTTTAGCAGTACAGTCTATGCTTTTAAGATCTGCTCGCTTTTCCAGTTTGACTCGCTGGGCCCTTTTGAACCAGCACAATGGTTTTCCCAGCTCTCCTGTGATCACACACTGTGAGCTTGACGGACAGCTTGGCACAAGTTGAAAGCTGTATGTAAACTCTGTGATTTGGGAGATTTAAAATGCTTACATGCGAAAAGGGGTTCAGTGATCATGGGTGTCACCATATGTGGGGTTGTCACAATAAGATTGTCAGAGTGAAGTATGTCTTAACCGAGAATAGCTCTGACCTCATTATACATAAAAATTCCCCTGCAGGTTACTTGTCACGTGAGTTGCAGTGGGAGACTCGACTTAGAGCGACCCACGCACCAGTTTCAATTTTAATAAAAGCGGAAGTGTTATGAGGTGCCTTTGATTTGTCTTAGTCATATTTTGAGCTAAAAAGAGTCATAAAACTTTGAGTCGGGGAAAAATATGACACTGAAATAAACAGCAAATTAGGTCACTTATATGTTGCAGTGTGTGGTTTTTTTTTTACATTATGACAAGTAATGTCCAACTAGAACATTTTTTTTTAACAAAATTATATAGAATTCTATTCATTTCCTTCTGTTTTACTCTTGTGCTGTGCTAAATATCCTTTACCTAATTTGATGTTCCTAGTCAAAAATTACTGGCCTTTTTAAAATTGCTTGTAAATCTCTCATTATATATTATCACCAAATCGTTGATTCAGTCTTTTTGTCAATTAGCACATGTTTTGTATTTCTTTTTGGGACTTCATTGATCTGAGCTTATGTACCTCAGTTTTTGAGTAAAAAACAAACAACAACAACAATAATAATAATATTTGTGGATAATTTTGGCATTGTTCATTGAATGCGTAAACTCAGATCAAGAAAAAAATGCAAAATCTGTGCTAACTGAAAGAAAACAAGTTGATAAAAAGAATGAATCCAATATTTGGTTATAATATGGTAGTTAGTGTTGTCCATAGAATAGAATAATTGCAGTCTCCAAATGAAACATCAGAATGAAACAAAAACAGATGTAAATGAAAATTCTGTTCCATTTAATAAATATCTGAGTTAACATTTTGTAAAATCTTTTTTCCCAAAGATTATTTGTGTATGATTTTTTTGGAGGCTAAAGCTTAAAGCCGTTCAAAGTATACTGCATTTGCTAGCATGTGCAAATACAGGCACTCGACACATGCGCACTAGAAAGTTTCATCTTTGTCCAGTGTCTAGGCTATTTCTCTCCAGAAGTTATACCCAAAAAAAAAAAACGTCTTTGTTCTGATTTAAACTGGAGTTGTGGGTATCTCTTAACATTCGGAACCAGAGAAAGCCATAAGGATAATGTCACCGGAGCTACTGCTAACATAATTTCTGTTTTTGCCTTGGTGACGTATATAAAAAGAAAGCTGACATATGGCAGAAGAGTTTTTGGCAAGTCTCCTCTACTGACCAGTTCGAAAGATGTGAAACATAAATAAACATACACACATTGATAAGCCACTGCACATGAGTGCAAGGTATTCTTTAATAGAGAAAATAGTTTTTTCCTGTTAATCGGGTTATTTCAGGTCTACACCACTCCTTTCAATCTGATCGACATTTCATCCGAATCCAGCCCAGTCGGATTGGTTGCATTGTTTACGTGAAGGCTTTTCAATCCATTTGAGCCATAAATCTGATTATAAACTCATTATTTGGGTGCATGTAAATTAGGGATGCGCCGATCCGATATTCATATCGGGTACGGGCTCCGATAGTGCCATTTTTCTCGGATCGGGTATCGGTCAGAGAGGGCCGATTCAAATCCGAGATTTGTTTTTATTTTTTTCCCCCGATTGTGCAAATTATTCTGTGTTACTTCTGAAGCCATACTCTAGCTTAATGTGAGCTACATATGAATATTTAAGTCCTTACCAATACCGAACCCTAGGTATCGGAATCGGTATCGGAGGCAAAAAAGGTGGATCGGAGCATCCCTAATGTAAATGTAGCTAATGGCTCACGTTTTCTTCTTATCTCTTGCGTAGTCCATCCTGCTGCTGGGCAGTGTTGCTCTGGCATGCTTGGCCTTGGACCTCCTCTTCCTCCTCATCTACTCCTGCTGGCTGTGCTGCCACCGTAAGAAGAGCGAAGAGCAGCCAAACGCAGACTGCTGCTGCACCGCCTGGTGCGTCATCATCGCCACCCTCGTCTGCAGGTGAGTCTGAATGCATTTTTCCTCATACCAGCGTCTCATTCAGGCAGAAGATGACACGTGTAGTCACTGCTCATGTACTCTGGTCTCCAGAGAGATGCTTTTATCAAATTATCCCCAGCTGGAAAAACTTCATTCTGTCTGTTGGAGTGTAAAAGAAGGTGTGTATTATCTGAAGGGCTGCAGGGTTTAATTTCTGGATGGGAAGCCGTTTCTGTACTAATCTCTGTAGTAGGGGTGGGCGCTATACCGGTATGAAAGTGACTTTTTATGTTGTTCCATGATATGGATTTTGCTATACCATGGATACCGTTATATATTCATGAATTCAAATTTTGCATTTATATAGTTTTGTTCAATTTGGTACGCTTTGTAAATTTGAACACAAATGACGATAAAGAGTCAAGGCTGAACGTTTTTGTCCTCTGTGTGCAACGCCGTACTACACAGGCATTAGTAATCAAACACAGAGCATCGTAACAGACCAAATTAATAGAGCACAAATCGCCTACTCCAGTGGTTCCCAAACTGGGGGGTGCGGCAAGGCTGAGGGATAGTGTACAATCAGCAGATTATTTAGCAAAAGAAACCTCTGCCGGGTGATAAAGACTACACTGCGTAATTTTCCCGCTTATCATGCGGCCACTTGTCTGATAAGTAAATAATTGAGCGCAAAATATTAATAAAAAATTTTAATTACCTCAACATGACTCGCAGTACCC